CTTCCCATTGTTTGAGACTCTTCTTGTTAGCCTCTGCTTCCAAAATTGATCTGTTCTGAAACACTGGTTTTATGGTGTAAACTTCTGTGGTATGATCCTTATGAAGTTCGGTGGTGCAGACTCCTTGAAGTTTCTTGATGTTCTTCGTCTCCACCTACACTCATGCTGGTCTTCGCGCTGGTCCCTGCGTTGGTTGCCTACCACTGCTGAATGTCATGGCTCTAGTAGCCGCCTCCTCAAGCACCCAGGCCTGTTACTATGGCAGCGGCACAGAGGCTGGGAATGTCCCAGCTCCCATATCTGGCTCTCTCTGCCGCCCAGGGCCGTCACAGGGTCTTGGAGTGTCCCGGTTTCCGTACCTGACTCCCCGGCGTCTAGTCCTGTCTCTATGGCAGTGGCACAGAGGCTTAGAATGTCCCAACTCCCGTTCCTGATTCCCCAGCGTCCAATCCCATTGGTATGGCAGCAGCACAGGGGCTGAGAGCGTTCCAGTTCCCGTAGAGGGCTCCTCTGCCGCCCAGGGCTGTCTCAGGGGTTTGGAGAGTCCCGGCTTCCATACCTAACTCCCCAGTGTCCAGTCCCATCGCTATAGCAGCGGCACTAGAGCTGAGAACTTCCCGGCTCCCGTAGCTGGCTCCTCAGGGCCCAGGCCTGTCTCTATGGCGGCATCACAGGGGCCTTTGGTGTCCCAGCTCCTGCAACTGACCCTTCCGTTGCCCAGGCCAGTAGCTATGGCATCGGCACAAGGGCCGAGAATGTCCCCGCTCCGGTTCCTGACTCCTCTGTCTTCCCGGACCATCACAGGGGCTTGGAGTGTCTGGCTTCTCTACCTGACTCCCCGGCTCCCAGGCTTGTTGTTCTGGCGGCAGCACAGGGGCCGCGTGAGACCCAGCTCCAGTAGCTGACTCTACCGCCGTCTGGTGTTTCAGTGTCAGTCACAATCTCTGGTCTTTTAATTTCATAAATGCTGGGTAATCGATGGTTTGTTGAGCCGTTTCTCTATAGATCTGCCAGGATTTTCACCCATTAGTACAGGAGCTAGTATCAGCTCCATCTTACTCCGTCACCATCTTCCCAGCATCCTCTAAAAGTTCGTTTTAAAAGTAACATTATTTTACTTCATTCTGGTTAACAGCCTCCATGTTTAATATTGATGTGCAATTCATCAACAAACAGTATCCGGTCCAAGTTCCCCATGAATCTCTTTCTAATAAATTGATGGTTTGTACTGAAATTCTTCTGAAGGAGACTTCATAATTGTGAGCCCAACTATGGAATGTAGCCATGACACCTGCCTGTCCCAGATAAACCACACAGGTGTGTTGGCCTTCCCTGGAACCTGGTGCATGGGTAAATTTTGAAGACAGTGCTTTCTTTTCTGAGTGACTCCATATATTATGTGCGGCTATTTCTTTAAAAAAGGGAAAGGAATTGAATTAATTAAACACTGAGGAAAATTCCGACATAAGAAAATGACAATCCTGAATGTGTGTGAGTTTAGAAGGGATTCATTTACCATTTATGTTAATGTATCCCCATGGACAGAGTTTCTTTTCCCATTTGCACATTGATACACTCTGTGCAGCAGGTACAAGTTTAGTGGATTTCCACCATGTATAGACATGGTGACAGCATTCCCAAATATTCTATATAGACATGAATTGGGACTGTGAGGAGAAGAGATGATTCTTCTCAAATTTATTATTGATGAACACAGGGGTCCCAACTTAATCCCTGCTCTGCTCCATGATTACAACTACAGCACAGGACCACATGGACACATATCATGATGATGAGGATAAAGCTTTTACACCCACTTCAATGATGAAGAGTTTACACTCATAAAGTGACAATCACCAGCTTAAGTAATGAAAGAGTATTTGAATGATTTATTTATTCTTTTTTTAAATTTTATTTAGTTATTTTTCAAGTACAGTTTTTTTGTCTATTTTTCCCATCCCAGTCTCCCCCGCCCCTTGCTCCCCACCTCCCTCCCATTTCCACCGCCCTTAGTTCTTGTCCCTGTGTCTTTCCTATTTGTTCCTCCAAATCCCTCCCCCTTTTTCCCCTTAACTTATTTATTCTTTAATCAATAGATACGTGAAATTATGCTCTTCATATTAATAAGGTTTTATTTATATCTGATATTTCTCAAAGATATTTATTTATTTATTTATTTATTTATTTATTTCTAGAGAGGGAGGAAAAGAGTGAGAAAGAGAGGGGGGAGAAACATCAATGTGTGGTTGTCTCTTATGTGCCCCTTATTAAGGACCTGGCCCACAACCCAGGCATTTACCCTGACTGGGAATAGAACCTGTGACCCCTTGGTTCACAGGCCAGCACTCAACCCACTGAGTACACCAGCCAAGGCATATATCGGTCATTTCACATATTGATTTGCATTAAGAATTTCCATAAGCAGCCCTCACTGGTGTAGCTCAGTGGATTGAGCATGGGCCTGCAAACCACACGATCGCAGTTCGATTCCCAGTCAGGGCACATGCCTGGGTTGCAGGCCAGTTCCCAACAGGGGATGCTTGAGAGGCAACTATACATTGATATTTCTCTCCCTCTCTCCTTCCCTTCCCCTCTAAAGATAAATAAATAAAATATTTAAAAAGTATTTTCATAAGCAAATTTCTGTACTTTAATCACACACTCCCCAATCTCCAACTACATTTTTACCTAAGGATATCCAGTCATGACTGTGTTTCTTGAGTCTCCATTGTTTAACCTCATTTTACCACATTGTCTAGCTCCAGGGATGTCCAGTATTTTGGTGTATCATGGCCAAACTGGAAGAAGAATTTTCCTGATCCACACATTAAATTCTTTGCAACATGTAATTTTTTTAATTTATTTTTTATTGATTATGCTGTTACAGTTTTTCTATTCCCCCCTTCATTCCCCTCCACCCTACCCCCCCGTCCCCACCATTACCCCCCCCTTTATTTTATGAGTCCCCATCAGACTGTCAGTGGATTTCTCAAAAGAGACCTTACAGGCAAGAAGGGGCTGGAAAGAGGTATTGAAATCCAAAAGTCATGAAATCCAAAGACCTACAACCAAGATTGCTCTATCCAGCAAAACTTTCATTTAGAATGGGAAGACAGATAAAGTGCTTTTCAGATAAGATCAAATTCAAGGAGTTCAGCAACATGTAATTTTTTAAATTTCATAATGTTTTGTCTTAAAGAATTTATTAATTTATTTTTAGAGAGGGAAAGAAAATGAAAAGACATGGAAGGAAGAGTCAGTGTGTGGCTGCCTCTTGCTTTCCTGCTACTGGGGACCTGGCCGTCAATGCTGTCATGTGCTCTGAGTGGTAATTGAACCTGGGATGCCTTGATTATCAGGTCAGCATTCAATCCATTGAGCCACACAATCCATGGAGAAGATCTCATAATGTATTAAGTGAATTTATGGTTTTGTGTTGGGTCATATTCATAGCCACACTGGGATGAATGAGGCCCACAGGCCACAGGTTGGATACCGCTGGTGAGAATAAAAGAGAAATGAGGTAGTGAAGCTGCACACATTTTACAACAAATTCCACTGAGGAGACAAAACATGGAAGTACTGTCTGCTTCTCTGTAAAGTTCACACTTTTGTGTCCCAAATGATCCTCACAGACACTCCACCTCCTCCAAAACAAGGTCCATGTGCTCTAGGGTCACACTCTGTTCTTACTTTATACTCTGATCATTTTGTAGGGGATATATGGTGAGATGAAACATTTCCATTTCCTCAACACAAGCCTCCTGCATTTCTAATTCTCCCTCTCATCATGAAGGTTTATTTCTCCGGGTGTGTCCCTTACTGGTAATCTTGAAAGGCATGTCATCTCTGTCTTTACTTATTTTCTTATATGACCAAACGGTGTCTACACACTGTCAGTATGACCAGATCTGTGTCCCTCCAAAGAGGTTATTAATATCTACAATGTCACAGATTTTTTTTCCAGTAGAACTAACATTTTCTTTCCCAGGGATGAGCACATCTGAGTAGCCCTTCTAAACCCACATCAACATATGCACACCAGTTATAAATTCTTCTTGATGAACAACAATGTGCATCAACTTCCATACAGAGTCATAGTCTCCCTATGGCCAGGACTGACCTGTGTACATTAATTCAAACCAAGGAGCCGGAGGCCGCCTGATGAATGTGGGACTCCCTGGCTCTGGACATCAGTATCTGTCTTTTCCCCTCTATTGACCTGTAATAGGTCAGCCCAAATTTTCAGGTTCTAAACAATGGGCTCAGATTTTTCTTCTTGAGATGCTTCCTCCAATTTCTGGTGACTCTTCAATAACTTATATCCAGGCAGGTAGAGTTTATTACTTAATTCATCCAACAAATATTACTGAATACCCAGGGTGCATTATTTTGCATTCAAGTCTTTGTTCATGCAAAGAATAGGAGCAGAGTGTTTTTTGGGATTAAAAAATAATTGAGAGCATTGTGCTAAGTGAAATAAGCCATGCACTTAAGAAAACATACCAGATGATCTCACCTTTAACTGGAACCTAATCAACAAAAGAAAAAAGCAAACAAATATAATTATAGGCATTGAAATTAAAAACAATCTGACATCAACCAGAGGGGAGATGGGAGGGGGTAATGCAGGGAAGGGTTTTCAGAAACAAGTATAAAGGACACATGGAAAGAAACAAGGGGGGTGAAAGCAAGGGATGGAGGAGTGTTTGGCTGGAGTTGGGGGAGAGGTTGGGGGTAAATGAATACAACTATACTTGAAGAACAATAAAATAATAAAAGGCAATAAAGCAAATAAATCTAAATAATTCAGTGTGGTAGGGAAGACACTGGGGTGATAGTTGGTGACCTGTCCCAGGTGTGACATGTCAGGCTTGGAGCAGCTGTTCCTGATCTAATCAGAGGTGAGGCATTATAGAGGACCTTCCTGCCTCCAAGGTGGGTAGTGATATTAATATTAGTGGTGAAAATATCTAACAGAGCTGGCATCTTTTTTACAGATGCCAGTTGACACTTACAGATATCAAGCTGACACTCAATCCCAGTAGAAGCACAAACGGTGAGGCCACATCTGTCCTGTCCCAGCATGAGGAGGACAAAGCTGTGCTGTTCTCTCCATTGCATGTATCTACAAGACCTCAGGCACCACCCTGCAAGACAGCGACCCCGGGTATTGGTAGGGCAGCTCCCAGGAGCTGTATTAAAGAGCTTGTTAATGGGCAGTGGATTTCTGTCTGTAGATAGTGAGTTTGTCCCCTGTGCTCAACATTTACTCTGCTACTCCACTGACAGTAGTCATGACATGGACACACCTCGAAGTTTCAAAGTCCTTAGTGTGTCACATAACAGACATCAGGATGTGAGTGTGGACACCAAACTGGGTGACAGGCACCTGTTACCTGCATTCTGAGGACCTGGCAGTAGAAGTCTGTGCACACAGAACTGAGGAGGGTTTATGTGTCTCAGTTCCTCCCCAAATATGGGAGTCCTCAGGCCTAGGGTGTTCTTGCAGAGACTCATCTGTGGGCAATAAGTTAGTGGGATTGGTGCTGCCAACATTTCCAACATGCTAGGGATGACTGCTGTGTGGCAGACAGTCAGCCTTGTCTCAGAGAAGCAAGCCTGGCTGAGGGTCATCAGCCTGTGTGCCTCAAAACTACAACAAAGAGGCAGTTTTGCCACAATAGTTTTGTCTCAGGTCATCCCCTGAATATTTTTATTTACTACCTGCACTGGAGAACCTTAAATATCCAACTTTCCATCCCAGTGTAGTATATCACTATTCATAGAAAAACTACCAGAATATTCAGATCAGTAGAATGCCTCTGGGTCCAGACCACGATATCCTTCCCCTCTCTTTTCCCCTAATTCCTGGAATCCAAGGCAGGGGCAGAGGAGATCTGCCTGCCATTTCTGAGCTCAGAAATGTACACAGAAGAAAGACATATAAATGTCCCCAGGCTCATGAAATCCAGCTCACCTCCTGTCTCTGCAGAACCTTGTGAGGATCTCTCCCCTGTGAGTTCATTCTTATGGTCCAAATCATGGGGTATAAACCCATCTGGGTTTCCCTTCTCATTGCTGTCAAAGGTGCATCTGTGCCCAGTGAGACCAGACCTGGACCCCACAGCTCAGGTCTCCCTGCTCCTCCAGCGCAGACTTGCTCCCTACTGCAGAGTCCTGAGTTTCTGTAGGGGGCAAAATCATGAGAGTAACTGAAAATCTCACCCAGCCCCACACACCCTTGATTGTAAAGCTGGGTACTGGGTTGAGTCAATGACTCCTTTCATTCCTGCCATAAACACACTGTGGTCTATTTTCCTCCTGCTGACCAACCCTTCCTGTAAGTGCTCCAGTCAGGGACATCCTCAGGGATGAAAAGACTTCTGCTGTTTGTTGTCATGTGGCTTCACCTGTTCCTGTTCTTTCTTCACAGGATTTCTGATTGAGTTCTCCCTGCAGTAGTCTGGCCCTTGGCTGATGAGACCCTCCAACATACCCTCACACTGACCTGCTCCTTCTCTGGGTTCTCAGTGAGCACTACTGGCACAGGTATTGTCTGAATCTGTCTTCCTACTAGGAGGGCACATGAGTGGCTCTCAGATGTTTGGTGGGGCAATTATAAGTATTACAACTCATCTCTGAAGAGCACACTCAAAATCTCCAAGGACATTCTCAATAATTAGGTGATTCTAACAAAGACCAGCATGGGCCTTATACACACGGCCACATGCTATTATGCACAGAGGGCACAGAGACAGCCCAGGGGCCTTCTGTAGAACAACCTGGATGCTTGTCAGCTGAGCCCCACCTCTGCAGAACAGGAAAGCATGGGGAGATGTCATTTTCTGCCAGGATCTGGGGGTTCCCCTCACCTCCTACATTCTCAGAGCCATGCCTTACTTTGTTTTCTCTCCTTAGAAGACCCACATCTCTGTTAGTGGAACAGACAGATGAGATACTGAATTCTGTTTCATAAACATTCAACACAACAAGGTCAGTTAAAAAGGACAGAAGTGTGACACACAAGATTTGACTGTTTCATGGGCTCCTCTCCCTCCAACTGACAGGATACAAATAAACAAAGTCCACCTCTGTTAAAAGATTAGATTTCGCCCTGGCTGGTGTAGCTCAGTGGATTGAGTGTGGGCCTGCGAACCACACAATCGAGGTTCGATTCCCAGTCAGGGCACATGCCTGGGTTGTGGGCCAGTTCCCAGCAGGGGACTCAAAAGAGGCAACCATACATTGATGTTTCTCTCCTCCTCTCCTTCCCTTCCTCTCTAAAGATAAATAAAATAAAATAAAATAAAAATTTAAGGAAAAAAAAGATTGGATTTTATGTTACAGACACATTAGCCAATAAGAAAGCTTGAAGCTCCATGCACATGCTCAGACCAGAGTAGTCAACTTGAAAAACCAGTTGAAATATAGCTGGTCTGAAACTTTATAAAGAGGAAGAGGAAAAAAGATGGGAGGAGACAAGGAGAGAGTGAGCCCCCTCCCAGAGTTGCTGTGACTTGTAAGTCCAAGGAATATGGCACCAGGGAGCTTCCTCCTTCTGGGATTATGGGGTCTCAGCTTATGAAGGGGTCTCCACTCCACAAAAACAGATATGTAGTTGGGAGACCATGTAGCACATGGTGGTGGGAAATTGAGGGGATTCTGTCCACCAAGGCAACTCTGATAGCAGTATCCCAGGCAGGGAGCAGTGCCATTGCTAAAAGACCAGAATCTGTGACTGCTGGAGGGGCCATGTGATAGTTCCAGGCTGAAGGAGGTGTCTGCTTGGTACATTCAGTAGTGACCTTCAAGGACCCTTTACTCTCTCTTAGGACTGTGGGCAGAGAACCATTGTGAGTCTCATCTGCATGACTTGAGGAACAGGACCAGTTTGCCCACCTTGTGTGCACAGGCAGAGCCCAACACCCACCTTCTGAATTGCTAGGCCAAATCCGACCTAGTCCTGAAGTCTTTCAAATAAATGAGTACTACTTTGACTGGATATTTGGTGCCACTACCCTGGTTAGACGGCACATGTATGAGGGGATCATTTGGCCCTTTAGAGCCTGGGAGGGTCTGGTCAGACTGGAGTTCCAAGAGGGCCTGATTTTCTTGTGATTCCCTTTGTCTTACTTAGGAGATGTGCATGTGCTAGCAATACACACAGAGCTGGGGTTTTAGTCTTTGTCTTTCAGGTCAGATTCTGTCCTGGAGCCAGATGGGCCTGCTATGAGATCTGTGGCTGCATTATAGGGAAGAATACTTGGTGTCCTCATTGAGTTTAGCCCCTTCAGCCATGGGGAACACAGGAAGTGCTCCTGATAACAGAAAAGACAGGACAGGGACTGTATGTATCCACCATAGTTGTCCCGGTCGCAACACACACTTTAGCAGCCAGTGTATGTGACACTTCAAATTAAACCTGACTCACATCAGCTGATCTAGGACTATGGAGCAGGTTAGGCATACATTACTCCATTGTCCTGAGGGTTCTGAATCTGCAGGTGTATACAGCCCTAGAGTGTGGGTAACACTAGATACAGACAACAAGTCATGCTCTCACCACAGAAAAGGGGTCCTACAACCTCTCTGTGTATATCCCATTTTTCTTGTCTGGATTAGGGTCTGGGGAACACTGTGGCCAGTGGAAAGGGCAAAGGTCCAGATGCTCACTGTTACCAGATGTGTGGCCTCTTGGACAAACAAAGGCTGTGACCACTGGGTGGTGCTCAGTGTCCCTGAACACAAGGATCATCAAAGGAACAGGTATAGTTGGAGGTTTGGACTGGCTTCCTGTCTGGTTTCTTCTTTCTTTAACTGTTTCTCTCAAGGTACCTCTATGGATTCTAGATTCTGCACTCACCTTTGAAGTCTCTGAGTTAGAAATGTCTGCTGAAAAAAAGCAAAATATTCCCTCATAAAAAAAGGCAGAGTCTCTTTCAGACACTCTTGCGCTCAATTGCAATGAATCATCATACCTCTGATCCATATCCACTGAATTTAACCAGATCCTATGCTGAACTGAACAGTCAGTCCAGCCTCACACAGCCAATTTGTCCAACCAAGCCAACATTTGCATGCTGAAGAGTGGGCAGCACAGGTGTATGGACCCAATTTCTAAGAAAAAGTATCCTCAGTGGTGATGGTCATAGACTTGGAAACATGATTACAGAATCAAGTATAGGTGACACCACACAGAGGCAGAGGGAGCCACACAGCTTGGTGTAGATTTCCTTGCTGAATTAAAAAATACACACCAAGGTGACATGGAACATTTATCATGTACCTAGTTAAAATATCTTGTAAGAACAGGAAATTTCATTCAGAAATTCAGATTTTTATAGTAAGTCCTGATTAATAACCAGCCTCCAGTTTCCTTGCTGACTTATGAATCCCCTTCAAATAATACTAGGTCAGTGTTCTCAATAGGAAACTCTAATAAAATTATATGATGTTCTGAATGTTCCCAATAAAAGTAAAACGAGTGGGCACAGTACTGAATTTAGCCATGTCTCCTGAATGTGGCAGTGCACCTCACAAACTTGCTTTAGGCTCTCTGGAACTTCAGATAATTTTCTTCTTTATTTTCTTTCCAATTCCACTTGGCATTCTATTGGGTTGCCAAAAATCTCACATGTTAAGACAAATACCATATGATCTCACCTTTAACAGGAAGCTAAACAACAAAACAAACAAGCAAGCAGAAAAAAAATAAAGACACTGAAATAGAGAACAAGGGGATAGTGACCAGAGGGGAGAAGGAAGGGAAGTTAAGGGGGAAAAGGGGGAGGGATTTGGAGGAACAAATAGGAAGGACACAGGGACAAGAACTAAGGGGGGTGGAAATGGGAGGGAGGTGGGGAGAAAGGGGGGGGAGGCTGGGATGGGAAAAATAGACAAAAAACTATACTTGAAAAATAACTAAATAAAATTAATTTTAAAAAATCTCATTTTTTCTCTGTAAAATAAAAGACACATTTTAAAATATATTTTATTGATATATTTCTCCCCTTTCATTCCCCTAACCTTGCACACTCCCTCTCGCCCATCCCCCCTTAATTCATGTCCATGTGTCACAAGTTCTTTAGCTTCTACATTTCCCATATTATTCTTGTCCTTCCCCCTGTCTATTTTCTACCTACAATTTATGCTATTTATTCTCTGTACCTTCTCCCCACTTCTCCTCCTCCCACTACCCTGTTGTTAACCCTCCTTGTGATCTCCATTTCTAGGGTTTTGCTTCTGATCTAGTTGTCCACTTAATTTGCTTTTGCTTTAGGTGTGTTAATAATCATGAGTTTTCTGTCCTTTCACTATTCATATTTTTATCTTCTTTTTCTTAGATAAGTCCCTTTAACATTTCATGTAATATGATGATGAACTCCTTCAACTTGACCTTATCTGAGAAGCACTTTATCTGTCCTTCCATTATAAATGAAAGCTTTGCTGGATAGAGCAATCTTGGATGTAGGTCTTTGGATTTCATGAATTAAAATACTTCTTTTAAGCCTCTTCATGCTTGTAATGTCTCTCTTGAGAAATCAGCTGACAGTCTGATGGGCACTCCTTTGTAGGTGACTGTTCCCTTATCTCTTGCTGCTTCTAGAATTTGCTCCATCATTTTAATCTTGGCTAATATAATGATGATGTTCCTTAGTGTGTTCCTCCTTGGGTCCAAATTCCTTGGGACTCTCTGAGCTTCCTGGACTCCCTGGAAATCTATTTTCTTTGCCAGAATGGGGAAGTTCTCCTTTATTATTTGTTCCAATAAGTTTTCCACTTGTTGCTGTTCGTCTTCCCCTTCTGGTACCCCTATAATTCCGATGTTGGAACTTTGAAAGATGTCCTGGAGGTTCCTAAGCCTCTCCTCATTTTTTTTAATTCTTGATACTTCATTCTTTTCTCTTTGGTCATTTCTTTCTTCCTTCTTTTCCACTCCATTGATTTAAGTCACAGATTTGTTTCCATCACTCTTGGTTCCCCATGCAATTTGCTTCATTTCACTAAGTGTTGCCTTCATTTTTTCATCTAATTTGCCACTAAAATCAACCAGTCCAGTGAGCATCTTGATCACCAGTGTTTTGAACTGTGCATCTGATAGGTTGGCTATCTCTTGGTCACTTAAAAGTATTGGCTCTGGGACTTTGAGCTTTTCTTCTGCTTGAGCCATAATGTTTTGGTCTATTCTCACTTGTTACATATGAGGGGCAAAAGCTTAGGGGTTCATCAGGATAGTTCTGCCCAGTCACTTGACTGTGACTGGGGTTGGGGTCAGAGAGGGAGCTATGTTATTTTTTCCACTCTCTCTTGGATTTTGGTCTCCTCTACCACTTCCCATAAGCAAACTGGGCCCTTCTGGTGCTGGTTCTTGGGTGGGTGGGCTTGTGTACATTCCAGAACCCTGTGGGACTCCCCAGTAATCTCTCCTGTGGGGCTAGGAGCCTCTCCCAGCACCTCAGTCC